TATCAACTGTGAGAGTAGAGGCCACTATATATATACACAACATAATCCTTGCCAAATCCCATAAGAATTCCCCTATTAGAATCCTTATAGGAAACTAATCCCTTAAATAGTAGTCCAATGTAACACTACTACAAAAGGGGATATCATTGGCGTTGTAAAACCGACAAGAAACACCAATTACTGTCGGATTTTTGGTAAAAATCTGACATTAAATCGTGCAATGTTGGATAGAGGAACCGACACCAATACTATCGTCACCATAAGGGTAATGACGTCGCTTAGCCCCCTTAATTTGCCACTAAGAAGCAAAGTAATATAAAATAAAAAATGAACAACAGCGTCGCTTAAAAGCGACATCTGCTTTTACGTCGCTTATAAGCAACATGAAAATCTGATATGATGGCGGTCAAAACCGACATTAAGTAACAAATAAACTATAAAAATAGGAGTAATTAGGTTTTCATCCTTATTTTTACTACTCTATTGATTAAAACCTTATTACTTTTCAATTTTTGATCAAGGTCCTTTGTATTAATAATATCATTAATTATTTCAATAATAAAATATTTTTTATTTATAAATATATTCATTTAATATTAAAAATGTTACAATTAGTATATTTATATTTATGGCTAAATTTTTTATCATATATTTTTATTTTTAGTTTGTACCCATTTTTAATTTGCAACCCTTTTTTAATTTGTACCAATTTTCCTTTCAATTTTAATTTGTACCCATATATTAATTTCTTTTTGTGCCCATATTTTTTTAAAGTTTTATTTGTATTGTACCCATATTTTTTTATTTATTTGTACCCATTTTTATTTTTGCTAAATGTACCCATTTTGAAGAATGTACCCATGTTTTGATACAATAATTTTTTGGTTATTTTTTATGAAAGTACCCATGTTTACACACACACACACACAATAGTATATTTATATTTTAATATTTTTAATCCCACAAATTATGTTTTTTATTTAAAATCTCATTAATATAAAAAACTATAAATTTTAATTTTTAATTTAAAAAATATAGTAACGTACATAGAAATAAATTATCAATTAATTTTAGGGACTTGGATCAAAAATTGAAAACCAACAAAGTTTTAGTCAAAGATTGTTCATAACTAGGGACCGCATCCAAAGTCTTCCATAAAAATATCACACTTACTGTCGGTCCAAACCGACATCACATAAGTTAAATAAATAAAATAGTCGATACTGTCGGTTGTAACCTACATTACCTACATCTCCATACAAATATACAATCCATACAAATTCTTGCTGCAATCTTGCAAAAGTTTTTGACGCCATAACTGAACAAGGATAATATTCATCGACAACAATTTTTTGGCATAGCCAATTGATGCTACGTAACTTCAGATCTCTAAAATAGCACCATTCAAAACGTTTGGTTCTATGCCTTTTCCTTCTAGGTATAACTCATGGAATCTATATTTAAACAGACCACAAAAGAGATAAAAATACCCTAACTTCAGTGACGTACAACTGATGTGTCACTCTTTCTCCTCTAACTAAATGCACTGCAAACATCTAACCTTCAAAGTCAATTCGAAATGAGCTGGGTTAATTTGGCATCAAAATCCTTCTCCAGTTCCACTTCTTCCTCCTAATGCCTCTGCTTCATTGCAGCTTTATCGTCATCATGAGCTTTCATCAGCATGTCCCGCTCTACCACAAATTCTTCCATCTCTTTTTCTTGAGACTTGATGAAGTTCTCAATTTCCTCCGACCTACGGCCATAAGGAGTATGGAAGAAATATAAATCAAACAAAACCAGAAGCACCACATGGGTAAAAGTATTGATCCTCTACTGGGGGCCCAACTTTCTCTGGTCTACGCATATTCTTTATCACAAATTACCTGTATTTTTGTTCCTCGGTATCTGAAGGGTTGAGATATGAGTGCTTCACCTTGTCACGTTCCTCCTGCTGCAGCCTCTCAAAATTATCTTCCTTTGCATCCCTTGATTCATGAATTATCTTGATCTGGTCTTTGAGGAATTGTTCTTGCAGATACTCTTACAAATTTCATGCCATAACTGAACAAGGATAATATTCATCGACCACAATTTTCTGGCTTTGTAACTTCATATCTCTAAAATAGGAAAGAATGAGGTAATGGGAAATAGGGAAATGAAAACACGGAAGTAATGAGAAAGAAGGGGTTTAAATATGGTTAAAAAGTTAGCGTCGATTAAGACCGACAGTTGCTGCAAGTGGCGTCGAAATAGGAAAATATTACATTGGATAAAACCGATGTTAGCCTGACAGTGTTAAAATAAGAAACCTTTGTGTCAGTTGAAACTGACATGTGCCTGACAGACTTAAGAGTCATTGCAGGTGGCCTCGAAATAGGGAAAGTTTGCGTCGGTTTGAACCGACGTGAGCCTAACAAACTTCACAGTCATTGAAGGTGGCAACAAAATAGGGAAATTTTGCGTCGGTTAAAACCAACGTATGTCTGAGAGACATGTCAGTGAATCAGTGATTGGATGTGGTGTCAAAATAAGAAAACTTTGAACGTGCCAAAAAAGTGGGAAAATTCCCGCCTAAAATATTTCAATTTATACCCCTAAAAACTGTAATAATTATATATATAAACTGTAATAATTATATATATATATAATTAAATTTTAAAAATTGGTGACAATTGGATTGGCTTAAATATACATATCATTCAATTTCTTAAGTGTTATACGTACAAAGTAAATAAATTTAAATCTACTTAATAAATATAATGAATACAATGAATGAATTTGATCTTCAATTTAAAATATTTACACTAGTGGATACCACCAAATCTTATGTTATACTTAATGAAAATATAAATAAACTCTAAGTGTTAGCGAATCCCATTTTGATGGGATACGTATCCTACGAAACTAATTTCAATGATCTAACCGTCAAACTTGTTTATATATGCTTTGAGATCGCTTACACCAAAAAAAAAACAAACATTTAGAGATCAAGTAACGGGACAAAACTTTTCGACGGTTATAAACAAAAAATCACGATTTAACGGTTATTTTAACTCCGATTTTGATTATTTTTTATAGCTACACTCATTGATCCTATATGAATACAATGAATGAATTCGATCTTCAATTAAAATATTTACATTAGTGGATACCACAAAATCTTATGTTAAACTTAATGAAAGTATAAATAAACTCTAAGTATTAGTGAATCTATCGTTTTGATGGGATACGCATCATACGAAACTAATTTCAACGATCCAACCATCATACTTGTTTGTATATGCTTTGAGATAGCATAAGCCAAAAATTGAGAAAAACAAACATTCAGAGATCAAGTAATGGGACAAAACTTTTCGACGGTTATAAACAAAAAATTACGATTTAACGGTTATTTTAACTCTGATTTTGATGATTTTTTTACAGCTACACCCCTTGACCCTATATGAATACAATGAATGAATTCGATCTTCAATTTAAAATATTTACACTAGTGGATACCACAAAATCTTATGTTATACTTAATGAAAATATAAATAAACTCTAAGTGTTAGTGAATCTATTGTTTTGATGGGATACACATTTTACGAAACTAATTTCAACGATTCAACCGTCAAACTTGTTTATATATGCTTTGAGATTGCATACGCCAAAAATCACAAAATACAAACATTCAGAGATCAAGTAATGTGACAAAACTTTTCGACGGTTATCAACAAAAAATCACGATTTAACGGTGATTTTAACTCCGATTTTGATGATTTTTTATAGCTACACTCCTTGACCCTATATAAATACAATGAATGAACTCGATCCTTAATTTAAAATATTTACACTAGTGGATACCACAAAATCTTATGTTATACTTAATGAAAGTATAAATAAACTCTTAAGTGTTAGTGAATCTATTGTTTTGATGGGATACGCATTCTATTAAACTAGTTTCAATAATCCAACCATAAAACATGTTTGTATATATTTCGAGATCACATATGCCAAAAATTGCAAAAAACAAACATTCAGAGATCAAGTAATGAGACAAAACTTTTCGACGATTATAAATGAAAAATCACGATTTAACGATTATTTTAACTCCGATTTTGATGATTTTTTACAGCTACACTCCTTGATCCTATATGAATACAATGAACTAATTTGATTGTCAATTTGATCCTATATGTATGAATGTTTGTTTATTAGGCTCTTATTTTCGAGTGTAGATGTAGTACTTAAACGACAAATGTGTTTTAATTTTTTGAAGTAATATTTATGTGGCAATGTGTATGTGCAAATTGAAGAAATTTTTTTTTTCTTAACGGGTCATAACGGGTCGGGTCACTTTACCTAATGGGTGAGACACGATACAATCCATTAAGATAACAGGTGTTACACGAAAACGACAGACACGACCTGTTTGCCAGGCCTAGTTGTGTGCCACCTCATAAACTCATCCTTACGAAAGATGCAAGAAAGAAAGAAGAAAACACAGGGGAGAGTATATAAAGACCATCAATCTGTCACTTACAACTGACCCTGGGTTTCAAAATATTTAAAAAAAACTAAAATCTATGTCGCTCAGAACCGACACAAGCTTTAAAATATTTAAAAACAATAGTTAGTGTCGGATATAAGCGACACCAATACTTTATGTCGCTTAAAAGCCACACTATTTTTTTTTAAGCGACACCATTATATAAAAATTATTAAAATGTATGTCGGTTGTAAGCGACATTAAATGTTTACGTCGGTTAAAAGTGATATAGACAGTTTATGACACTTACAAGGGATAGTAAATTCGACGTCATGTTCAGTAGTTGTCGCAAATCTCTTATCCGCCACTATATTATATTAAAGCGACATCACCCAGTGACACAATAAGTCCATTTTGTAGTAGTGTAATATGGATTACAAAATTCATTCCCAATAAGACTTCCCATTCAATCTCAAGACCAATAACTAAGTTCATAGATTCATACTTATGCTCATATTCTTACATGGTGCCCAACCCTCCACTATCATTCCCCTCTCTCCCACCCTCTCTACAAAACCTTTTGGCAATACCTCTTTAGCCCTAGTAACTTTCTCTTCCTTAGGAAACCTAACAACCCAAATGAAACTCACTTTGCTAAGATCTAAACCATGAGCTATCTCTTCTATTTCCTCCTTGGATAAAAAGTACTCACTCCCAAAGGAAATATACACAACCGAAGATGTTTCCCGTTGGTTCAGCCATTTGATGACGTGATCTGTTTCTTCATCTTTGTCTTCTTGATCCTTAGTAGGGTCGTGGAGTAGTGGACCAAGACGCACAACCTTGCTGTCCATTAACTCATAGAGGTAATCAACATATTTTCCTTCAATCTCCCTGAATGTCTTTAACAAAATGAGGTCACAAGAGTGACCAATGGTAATAAGGAATTGCAGTGGAGGGACTCCGTCATCCTTTCTATTGTCATTTGATGAAGCTGGCGGCATCATACTATTGAACTTACTAATCTCGTAATCACGAAGATAGATTGCGGGAAACGGAAACCGGACACTAGGGCCCTTGAAAAGACGATGGAAAAGAAATGATACCGAAACAGCGCTGAAGATGAAAAATTGGATGGTGGGAATATTTTGATCCAAACCAAGAGACAGTGCCCATGGGACAACAAAATCATATATGAGAAAATCAGGGTTTAGGGTTTTTAGGATGTTGGAAAAGTAAGGGCTTGCCATTTGCAAAGCCTTTTTTAGGGTGGGCATGAGGTGGGGTGGGAGGCCATTGGTGGTGTGGTAGTGAGGTGCCAGTTCTGGAAATACATCGTGTGGAAGATGTAGTTCAACAAATTCAATGCAATGACTGTATCTTTCAGGAAGTTTTGGCTTGACGGAGTTGAGAATTACAGGCGTCGAACAAAAAAAGATATGAAAATTTCTATCGCTGAGCTTCTTGGCTAGCTCGAAGAAGGGAGAGATGTGGCCGTGAGCTAACCATGGAAGCATAACAACACTCATGATAATATTTCCATGCCTAGAATCCATTTGGAAGTCTGTATCTTGAAGTTGTTAATTGGTGGTATATATAGTACTATTCACATAGTGATGGATTAAATGCCAAAATATAAAGAGGACTCATAATAATAAAAGGCAGAAGATCTCATCTACCTCTAAACAGAGAAAATTGATTGGATAAAATAATTGTGTATCTTCTCACCACTTGACAGGTTATTGCACGAGAAAGACACGAAATGTAATTGAGCATCTCTAAGAGAAATGTTAATTCCAAATTGTCAAACTATATTTGAAGGTTACGTGACAATTTACACTATGTATGCCTCTTGGAGATGATAGGAAGACTATTTTTTCAGACCATATTTCATAAACCATGATGTGGCAATTTATGGTTGGACTTCTGATTTAAGAAAGAAATTCAACCATCAACCGTCACATTATGTTGTCTAATTATGGACTAAAATGATGATCTCTATAGCATCATCCAAAACTTAAATGGTCATGCATTTAAAGAAGAAATCCAACCATCAACCGCCACATCATTTGGTCCATCAAAATATGGTTAAAATGATGATCTCTCTAGCATTGCCCAAAACTTAAATGGTCATGCATTTCATATTTTTTTAGTAAAGGAGAAACCCGACCGGATTCTCCTTCCCTTTAGGAATTGATCTTGTATTTATGTTTCCTGATTTTGTGTTTATATCTCCTGATTTTGTGTTTATATTTTCTGATTTTGTATTTATGATTCTTGTATAAAATGAATATTTCATGTAATCCGAGTATTTTCTGATTTTGTTTATATTGTACTTTACACGTATCAATGAAATCATCTAGTCTAAACTGTCTACATGGTATCACTTATTTTGGTCTCTCTTGGAGTTTTTTTTCCCATTGCCGACTCTCCCCCTAGACACTATTTCTTGTCCTCCCCCTTCCATGGCTAACGAAAACGCCTCATCCTCTACCTCTACTAGTTCTTCTCTCTCGGGCCCGAATGTGGCTTACTGTCTTAAACTCACCGAGTTCAGTTATCTTCTCTGGACTTGTTAGATGAAGCTGTTCTTGGTTGGCCATGATTTTTTTTCCTTATGTTAATGGCTCGACAGCTCCAGCCGCCACTCTCTTGCCAAACCTAATCCTGCCTATCTGTCTTGAACAAACAAGATCACCTTGTGTGTAGTTATCTTACTTTTACCCTCTCTAAGTCCATCATCTCTCTAGTTTTCGGTAAACCTTCTTCAAAGGCAATCTGGGATTGTCTCCATGAGCACTTCTCATAAGCCTCTATAGCGAATGCTAGAAATCTTCGATTTCAGTTACTTGATATTTCGAACAGCACTCGTACTATTTCTGAGTGTCTCTAACATGCCAAATCTATCTCGGATAGTCTTGAAGCTATCAATCGCCCCGTCTTTAAAGAGGACTTAGTGACTGTTATTCTGAAAAGGCTAGGTGGGAACTATTCTATACTTACCACGGTTGTGTTGAATTTTCCCCTTCCCTCGTTCATTGACCTGCGTTGCAAACTTCTTTCCTTCGAGGCCCAGAACCGGCCTCCTACTGCTGATGCCCAAAGCTCTGTTTATCTCGCACCATCCCCTACTGATGTTGCCTATGCCCAACCTCCTACAGTGAGCCCTCATCAAGTGATGCTTCTGCTCATCTGGCCCACTACGTGGACCATCCTCCTCACCGTCCATACAGGCTCAATCCGGGATTAGCGTGTTAGTTGATAGGATTTTTACCACGTGTAAATGTAGGAATAAAAATACTTAAAATTACTTGCAAGAGTATAAGGTAATTGTAATTAGTCAGCTCTAGTAAGGTTGTTCTCTACCGGAATTGAATGAATAATTTGTATTTAAACTAATTCTTAATTAACTATTTGAAAACAAAGTTTGGAAAAGGGTGATATTATGACCTAAAATATTAAAAAGGAATTTAATTAAAAACAATTAAATAATTGGCAAGGTAAAGAAAGCAAAAGAAAATGATTTTGGAAGGCAATTTAAACACTAGGGGTTCCGCCGTCACCACTAACAATCCTATGTAATTTTACCAATTACTTATGAATTTTCCACATACATGCTTTGAAGGTTAGGTTTTCCTAATACATATTTTTCCACGTGATGTTCAAGTGAAAATGTATATCTAACATGCAACACATCTGTGATGTTTAGATCAAATATAAACATGCAAGACTCATTAAGCTTTGTGACTTTGAAAAACCATGCAACCCTTAAGAGCATGATGTTAGCCTTAAGCGAACTTACAATTACTAATCACAATGTGCCCTCCTCAATTTCAAGGTGATGTTCCAACATAAATTACATCAAATTAAAGAATGATAAAACTTCTTCTACAAGATTGTATTTCACTCAATAAATTTACAATTACACAGAAGAGAATATATATAGCATTTGGCTCTTTACAAATATACCCTTGACTACCTTAACTAAACTTGTAACCATTCTAACTAACTATAGTTAATAACAAACTAACCACATTTAGCTTTTACTAAACTATTTAACATCAACAGAAATGGAAGACTTGTTATCTTCCTTAATACACCCCCTCAAGCGAGAGGAGGAATCAGAGTTGATTCTAATGGGAAGCTTGGAACACAAGTATTGGAACTGATTTTTAGACAAAGATTTTGTAGGAAAATCAGCCAATTGATCGGCACTACAAACAAACTGGACTTTGAGAAGATTAGCTAGAACCAGTTCGCGAATGTAATGATAATCAATCTCAACATGCCAAACAGGATTAGAGGCTAAAAAAATGGCTGAAATGTTATCACACCACAGTGTAGGCAGTTTAGGGAGAGGACAATGAAGGTCACGAAGGATTTTACAAACCCAAGTGAGTTCTGCAGCCGTATGAGCCAGAGACCTATATTCAGCTTCTGTAGAAGAACGGGCGACGGTACTTTGTTTCTTGGCATTCCAGCTGATGAGGTTGGGACCAAGAAAGACACAATAGCCACTGGTTGATCGCCTATCAAACGTGCTTCCAGCCCAATCAACATCGGAGTATGCTGAGAGATCAACATGACCCTTTGTAAACCATAATCCCTGGGAAACAGAACCTTTTAGAAATCGAAGAACTCGTTTGGCAGCTTGAAAATGTTGTTCACGCGGAGAATGCATGAACTGGCAGAGCTGATTGACAGCAAAAGCAAGGTCCAGGCGAGTCCACGTGAGATATTGAAGGCCTCCAACAATTGAGCGATACTCAGTGGGATTGGGTAGAAGATAACCAATATGATCCTGTTTGTGGGAGCCAAGAAGTATGCAACAAGGTTTAGCACCTTGCATATTTGTCCGTTGAAGAAGATCAAGCAAATATTTAGTTTGATGAATAAATATCCCTTTAGAAGATCGCTGGACTTCCAGCCCCATGAAATAGCTTAAAGGACCAAGATCCTTCACTGGAAATCGATTACTTAGCTGTTGAATGAATTGATGACATAGATGAGAATTAGGGCCAGTAACGAGAATGTCATCCACATAAACGAGAACTATAACCAACTGAGGACCATTAAGTACAAACAAAGATGCATCAGATGAAGATTGATGGAAGCCAAGGTCCTGCAGAGCTTGAAATAGTTTTTCAAACCAAGCTCTAGGGGCTTGCTTAAGACCATACAACGATTTTTTGAAGTTTGCACACATGACTGGGAAATAGATGATCAATAAAACCAGGGGGTGGAAGCATGTAGACATCCTCTTTTAAATCCCCATGAAGAAAGGCATTGCTAATGTCTAACTGGTTTACAAACCAATTATGTTGAATAGCAAGACTAAGAAGTATTCGAATGGTAACCGATTTAGCAACCGGACTGAAAGTCTCTTGGAAATCAATGCCCTCTTGTTGATGAAAGCCCTTGGCAACAAGCTGGGACTTATAACGATCCACAGTACCATCAGGCTTCTTCTTAACATGAAACACCCACTTGCAGCCAACAATGTTTTGAGAAGAATGAGAAGGAACTAAGGACCAAGTTCCTGTAAACAGTAAGGCATTGTATTCATCCTGCATCGTAGCTCGCCAGTGAGAAAACTTAGATGCTTGTAAATAAGTGCTGGGAACAGAATCCAGTGCAATGGATAGAGGATGCTTAGTTGCTGCATAAGCCTTAGGTTTATAGATGCCTGCTTTGGATCGGGTAACCATAAGATAAGTATTAACCATAGAGGTAGAAAGGGTGAGAAGCATCTGGAGTTGGAGAACCATCTGGAGTTGGAGAAACATTTGGAGTTGGAGAAGTATCGGGAGTTGGAGAAGAGGCAGGATGAGTATACTTGCTAAAATAAAGATCCATTGAAGGAGAAGTAATTGGAGAAACACTGCCAAAGCTAGAAGTATGAAGGGGCAGAGACTGAAAATGATAGAGTTCTTCATTAAAAATCACATGTCTGGAGATATAGACTCGGTTGCCAATTGGATCAAAGCACCGATAACCTTTGTGCTGAAGACTATAGCCCAAAAACACACAACTCTTGCTTTTAGCATCCAATTTACTGTGAATATAAGGTTTAAGCCATGGAAAGCATTGGCAACCAAAAACTTTGAGTTTGGAATAATTCGGGTGCTGATGAAATAAAATTTCCCAAGGAGATTGTGAGACACCAGAAATGGGAAGACGATTATTGAGATATAGGGCAGTAGCCTCGACCCAAAACACATGAGGGACATGAGAAGCAACAAGTAAGGTCCTAGCTGTCTCAACAAGATGGCGGTGTTTTCTCTCAGCACAGTCGTTTTGTTCAGGCGTGTGTGGATAGCTGAATTGATGAAAAATACCATGTGCACTAAGAAAAGATGCAAAAGAATGACCAGTAAATTCACCCTCTGAATCTGAACGCAACACTTTGATTTGTGGAGACCTGCTTCTGTTACATCTAGCAGTGGTTTCAGTTATTACTTAAAGAATGATAAAACTTCTTCTACAAGATTGTATTTCACTCAATGAATTTACAATTACACAGAAAAGA